CGATCACCATAAGTCCAGACACCATCTGTCACCATACAGAGTTACACATATTTTCTTGTTATGAGAACTTTTAAGATTTACTTTCTTAGCAACTTTCAAAGTTACAATATAGTATTATGGACTATAGTCACCATGTTATACATTACATCCCCATGACCTATTTATATTATATATGGAAGTGTGTACCTCTTGATCCCCTTTACCCATTTCATCCAATCCCATCCCCCATCCCCTTGGTAACTACCAATCTGTTCTCTGTATCTGTGAGTTTTGTTTGTTCATTTATTTTGTTTTTAGATTTCACATATAAGTGAAATCATACATTAATAGTCTTTCTCTGTCTGACTAATTTCATTCTTCTTGATGACTGAGTAGTATTCCATTGCATGTACATATACATATATATACTATACATATATATACACTATATGTATACTATATATAAGACCACATCTCATATATGTATCACATTTTCTTTAGCCGTTGATTCATTCTTTCTCTTCCTCCTACAGAAAGGGAGACACCCTGACAAATGGATGACAAATGGAGATAGATAGATAGATAGATAGATAGATAGATAGATCTACCTTTCAAAAGGATAACTTTTACTCTTTTGGGAAATTTTCCTGTCTCTGCTGTTTCTCTATTAGCTCAAAATACTCTATGCCAAAGAGGCATAATTTGGTATGGTATATTCTACAACACTTCACTATATTCTAACTCTAGATGGGTGAGTGCTATTTACCCAGTTTCCACAATGCTAAAATGTGAATAGTGGTATTTTTCTGCCTCTTTGATAAGGTTGTGCTGGTAGCAAAACGGCACCAAGTGTTAGACCGGACCTTGGTTCAGGAACCTTGGTACCTGAGTTCTGGCAAAGAAAGAATTCAGAGTCAAGACTCAAACTATAAGAGAAAGTTTATTTAGAAAGTCACAGAGGTAGATGTGAATCATAGAATAAATGGGCTTAGGAAACAGGTTATAGGGGCAAAGGAAGGTCCCTTGGAGCTTAGGAGAAAAGGCAAGGAAACGGCCCTGCAGGGAGGTGGTGGGGAAAGGCCCTGTTGTGCTCCATAGAGAGAACCAAAGAGGTTCCTCCATCTTGAGGGTATTTATCTTGAAGTCTCAGGGGAGGTTTCCAATAGAATATTCATCACCTTTCCTGGTGTTCTTTCAGGGTCATGGTCTCTACTGAGTGGTTGGTGCCAGGGCAAGAGGTCAGTATTTAATGCAGTTGGTCCTGAGGCAGCCATAGTTGCTTGTTTGATTTTGCTGCTTTTCCAGGCTTGGAGCTGAAATACAACTGAGGCCTAGATGTATTAGATGCGGGTCAGAATCTCATTGTCCTGGGGACTTAATGCTTAAGGGCTATTCTCTGCCCCCCTCACTTGGTTCCCCTCTAACAGAGTCTAAAACTCATGACTAGCAATGTGCCAGGGGAGGAAAGGTCAGGAGAGGGTCCGAAGCCTATGACCAGCGATATGCTATGGGAGGAAAGGTTACCCTGGAAGAGAGATCCTTGTTTTCCTAGTTTTGTCCATTGCTAGGCACCTGGGGCTCTCTGCCCTGGTGACCTTCTGTACCTGGCCTGTCATCCTTGCTCTGCTCATATCTGTCTGACTGCCTACCACTGTTGTTATCAAGAATATGGGACATAGCCCTAACCAGTTTGGCTCAGTGGATAGAGTGTCAGCCTGTGGACTGAAGGGTCCCAGGTTCGATTCCAATCCCGGGCATGTACCTTGGTTGCAGGCACATCCCCAGTAAAGGGTGTGCAGGAGGCAGCTGATCGATGTTTCTCTCTCATCAATGTTTCTAACTCTCTGTCCCTCTCCCTTCCTCTCTGTAAAAAAATCAATAAAATATATATTTTTAAAAATTATAAAAATATGGGACATAATGGAAGGAAAAATATATCTTAAATAATAAAGTCCTATACAAAAGCAAATTGTTGATGGTGGAATTATTTGCAATATTAGATTATAAACTACTTCAGAGTCTGGATTAGGCTTTAATGATCATTGTACCCATCATGATGCTTAGCATAGTACTAACCAGGATTTTGTATTTAGTAGCTGCTCAAAAATAAATAAATTAATAAATAAATAAATAAATAAATAAATAAATAAATAAAACTTTCCTTACTGACATAAGGGATGAAAGGAATGGTATCTAGTTCTTTTTCTCCTCCTGTCCCAGGTAGGATGTGGTGACATAGTTGCAAATACAAATGATTTCCATACTTTCTCATGTTGGTTCTCCCTTTTACTAGTACAAAGTAATCACTTTGAGGATAAGTAAAGGACTTGCAAATTGGGCTGTTTTCCATTTGTTATTTATAAGATAAAGCATTCCTAGAATTTTTCAAATTATCTCACTTTGGTTCACAGACAGAATTTCTGAAATCAGTTTTTGTTCTAGGAGAACAGATTTATGAAATTGTATATCACTACATAGACATATTTTAGCTGGTGAAAAATTATGTTATGATAAATGGGAAACATGCACTATTTTGCCTTTTTTATCTTTTTCTTGTGCTTGGTGTTGTACAGATGTTGAGCCTTCTGAAATATATAGTTTTGTACTTTGCATTGCAAATAGAGTACAAGTAAGTGACCTTTGCAAAGTGTTTCTGTGTAGAAAGTCTCTGGCGTGGGTCGATTTTATTTAGGGAAGAGAGACTAGAGAACAAGTATCTAACTTTCATTCTGTGTTAAGAAATGAAGAGTATTGTCTTATTTCTGCAATTCTTAAATAGGTTGTTTAACACTTTCTTAAAAATAAAAATAAAAATACATGGTGATATTCTCAAAGGGGAAACCAGAATATGTATATAGCAGTACCTATAACCCTTTGTTGATAACAATTTTTTTTTTAAAAATTAGAATAAGTCAGAAATGTGTTAATTCTTTCAGGTCCATTGGACTTGAGGGTTAAAAGATTTAATGTCACTTAGCACAGATGAGGTTATTGAGTTGCCAGTGTGAATGCTAATACTTAAGTAGCATAAGAAAGAACATGGGTAGGGGTCATCTCACTTTTTAAATCATGTTGTGTTCCCTAAGTGTCAGCTGCAAAGTAATTTACCAGAAATGGTCTGATTTCCCCATTGACTTCCATTGTACAACTAGAGCTCTGTTCCCATGGAAAATAAATTTGGCCCCAGGTTATAATAAAACACACTGAAAATTTCAGAAAATCATATAAAATCAAGTATTTCAAGACACAATTATCAGTATCTGATAACATAATACAGATACAAAATATTAATATACTGTGGTGGATCTTAAAATCACATGCCCCCAAACTGTGCTGTTCTTCTTTTACAATGCTAAGTCTGTTCCCTTTCTATTTAGAAAAATCTTACTTCTGTTTCACTATTGATTTTTAATACATTTAACTGGAATTTTAGAAGGTGGACTTGGTTTCCTATATTCTTCAGGGCTAGCGTGCTTACCTTTCTCTGAAGCATTCTTATCAGTTAACATTCAAAGGAGCCCTAACCGGTTTGGCTCAGTGGATAGAGCATCGGCCTGCAGACTCAAGGGTCCCAGGTTCGATTCCGGTCAAGGGCATGTACCTTGGTTGTGGGCACATCCCCAGTAGGGGGTGTGCAGGAGGCAGCTAATTGATGTTTCTCTCTCATCGATGTTTCTAACTCTCTATCCCTCTCCCTTCCTCTCTGTAAAAAATCAATAATATATATATAAACATTCAAAGGAAATGCTCCAACATGTTCACAGTATTTGCTTCTGTTTGTTGAAAATTTGCTTACTTATTTAAGCTTTTATATTTCTAAGTCTTCTAAAGAGAGAGTTTTCTATAAATATACCTACTATAATCAGGAAAATAGTATTATAATTTATTTTTATAAGTGTAAATTTAGGTATAATGAGATACCTTTAGTTGGACACCTTTAAATATATGGTTTATTAAATGCTTTGATACTGGTGGTTGTTATTACCTTTTGATAACATTTGTAAAACAATGATGTAATTAATCTCTGAATAAGTAGCTTTTGTGGAGTGTACTGCTGAGAGTGTAATCCTGGACTGGCAGCCTCAGCGTCACCTGGGAACTTGTTAGAGATTATAATGCTCAGGCCCCTGGGCTCAGGCTCAGCAAACAGCAATCTGGCTTTTAATAAGCCCTTGGAGTGGTTAAGGTTATAGAACTACAGCAGAATCTCTCTCACTATCTCTCCCTTGCTCCCTCTCCCTCTCCCTTCCGCTCCTCATGAGGGACACACACACACACACACACACACACACACACACACGGTTACATATAACATAATCTTATATAGAATTTCTATCTATATGGAAAATGTGCATTAAGAATGGTGAATCTATACTTTCTAAGTTTTTTGTTGGTGCTTATTTCTACTGTATGCTGTTCATAAAAAATATGACGTAGTTTGTGGATATGTATTTTGATTTAGCAAACATGTTCGGCACGGTTATACATTAAATATAATTTATAGTTTCAAAATTCATTAACCAATATAATGACAATAGCAACTGCTTATGGACTGAATTGGATCTGCCCAGAAATCATATGCTGAAGCCCTAACCCCCAGAATCTCAGAATGTGACTGCAGATAAGGCCTTTAAAGAGGAGATTTTGTTCAAATGACGTTCTAAGGGGGTACCCTAATCCCCTGTGACTGCTTTCCTCATAAGAAGAGGAGATTAGGACTCAGACAACACAGAAGGACCACTGTGTGAGGACACAGCAAGAAGATCACCATCTATAACAAGCCAAGAAGTGAGGCCACAGAAGAAATCAAACTTGCCAACACCTTGATATTGGACTTCCAGCCTCCAGAGATGTGAGAAAACAGATTTCTGTAGTTTACGCTACCCAGACTGGCATTTTATCATGGCAACCCTAGCAAACTAATACATAAGTATTCATAGAAATGATGGTATAATTCAATCTTAACATCTAATGATTGCCTTTGAGGTACTATTGGATCATATTCCTTAACAGAAACCTACAGCTTTACAAAGATCGCCAGAGAGCAGTATGACAAACTGTCCACCATGCACAGCAACATGGTCAAGCTCTATGAGAATCTTGGAGACTACTTTATTTTTGACTCTAAGACAGTGAGCATAGAAGAGTTTTTTGGTGATCTCAACAACTTCCGAACTTTGTTTCTGGTGAGTAATACATCTTGAAGCATTGCAAGGTCTGATGCTTTTGTTTTTAAATAATTTCTTCTATTGGCATTTCATATAACTATTGACCATATTGATTTCATGTTATAGCCCTTTAGCAGAAATTGACAGATATTTTATACCTGTGGCGTAGATGAAAGTTGTTGGCTGGCTTAATGTATAATGGAGAACTGCATGAATTATCTTAAACTTTAGGTATACATGAGAATTTTTCTCCTGAAATTTTATCTTATATAATAAAAGGATAATATGCAAATTGACCAAATGGTGGAACGACCAGTTGCTATGACACACACTGACCACCAGGGGGCAGACGCTCAACAGAGGAGCTGCCCCTGGTGGTCAGTGCACTCCAATAGGGGGAGTGCTGCTCAGCCAGAAGCCAGGAGAGCGCAGCAGCGGTGGCAGGAGCCGCTCCCGCTTCCAAAGCAGCGCTAAGTAGCAGTGAACTGAGCGGTAAGGAGCAGCGATCAGGTGGGCGGTGAGGAGTGAGGGCTCCCAGACTGTGAGAGGGATGTCCGACTGCCGGCTTGAGTGGGCCTAAGCTGGCAGGCAGACATCCCCAGAGGGGTCCCAGACTACAAGAGGGCGCAGGCTGGGCTGAGGGACACCCCCCACCCCCCAAGTGCACAAATCATGCACCGGGCCTCTAGTAGAAAATAAATGAATAGGTACAGAAATGACCCTGATTTTTATACGGCATAATATTATCATTTGATCTAGCTTAAAACTCATATCTAAAATAATCTTTCAGTTAATACATTAAAATGATGTAATTGATGAACAAGTTTCTTTTATAGTCTAGATGAGAGACAGATTCCAAATTGGACTGTGTAAATGACCTTGAATGCCTAAAGTTTCTTCCAGAATATGGGCTCTTGTTTCAAACTGTAATTCTTGGGGTAACAGTAAATATTAGCATTAATTGAAGGGGAGGCAATCAGGGTGCAGTTACAATGTTAGAGGAAAACAAAAACTTTGCTGTATAAATGCTGTGGAACTACTTCTCTGCATCCAGCCAAGGAGTAGAAGAATACAGACTGTGATTATGATAGAAAAGAAAGTTATGCACAATAGTTGATATCAAACAGGCAAAGGTCCATCTATTTTAAAGAAGGAATTCTAGCAATTATCCCAGCATTAAGACCAATTAGCAAACTAATTATTGCAGTTCAAGATATGTTTTTATCTCCAAAGCAGTTATTTGCTAAATAAGGCTACCTCTCTTAATTGATGGTGAAATCGTTTGATTTGAGTGTGTCTTGTACAACCTGTGAGATATATGTTTGTGGAAAGCATTTGCTTGCATCTACTGACGTAAGGCATATGACCCAGAGCACACCCCACCTTTGGTAATGGAAACTAAACCAAAAACTTTTTTGTAAATCCTTACCCCTGAGATATTTTTTCCATTGATTTCTGGAAAGAGTGCAAGGGAGGGAGGATGGGAAGAGAGAGAAACATTGATGTCAAAGAGACACATCTATTGGTTGCCTCCCACATGCGCCCTGACCCAAAAAATTTTTATAGATATGATAATTTGTCTTCTTTTTTTTGCTAAGAATATTAGCTTATTTTGACCTTTGGTCTTTGCCCCTTAATAGACACACATTTTTTTTTTTACTTTTTAGCTGGCCAATAAGTAGTAAAATGTGTTCTACTGGTAATGAGTAATTAAACTATTTTCAAAACCTAAAAGTCATAAATTTGACATGGACATATGCACACCGAGGTTATATCTACTTAGATTATTTTCAAAAAGAAAAACAAAGCATGTTGAAAGGAATGGGGACTAGAAAAGTTGACACATTGAAAAGTCCAATGGATTGTTTTTATAGCATCAATGCCATGTGCCTTGTTTTAACATGGATCTTAAAACAATGTCTGTGTGTCCCCTCCCCCCACACCTCTCCAATATACAGACACAGAGTAGAATTTGGGGTACTTCTCCCATGTTGCAGCATTTGATGAAGGACAATTTCTGTGTGATAGCCTGTTTAGTCATATTAGAAAGATGCTTAGAAGACTTGCTAAGAATTATAGTTGTAGTACTTCTCAATGATAACTTATTTTAAAAATGTAAGGATATCATTGTTAAGAAGACCTGATTCTGTGTCCTTATGCTGTAAGTAACAAGCTATGTGACTGTAGGTAAGTCATTTATCTTATCTAGCTATTTGTTTATTTATTTGTTTATTCATTTAGTATAAGAAGGGATTATACTACTTACCTTTAAGAACTTTATCTTCTTTATTAGTCTATGAGTCATGGTCGGAATTTCAGCCAGAGAGTCAAGTATGTATATGTACTGGCTTCACTTTGCATACAGCTTGAGTACAAGGAAATAATTTGTCATAGATCATTCTCATTGTGAATAAGTTGACATTCTGAAGTCTGGTTTTGTGTGCATTTAACTTCTTAAGAACCTTCTAAGATTGAGACTGGAGCTTTCAAAACAGGTAACCAACTGCTACCCTGTGTCCTGCCAGCCATTGCCATCTCTCTGACAGAATACTACTGCTATCACTTCTGTCTACAAATCTTTATTGACTGGCTCACATAAGAACTAGGCGTGCAGTTAATCAGCTGTTTTGAACTTGGGTTGGTCATATAACCTCTCTGGGTATTGGTTTCCTCATCTGCAAAATATGGATGGTAATTCCTGCCATGTCTTCCTCACCACTGTGTGAAAACACCATGCAACCCATGCTATGCAGATGAAGAGTATTATTGGCCATTCTTTCTATCCATTCATTCGGTTATTATATATTGAGGACCAACTTGATTTTGGTAGTGCTTTAGTTTAGAGATAAAAAGAAGAGAATAGTCTTTCTACATAGAGGGAGACAGACAAGTAAATGCAATATAATTTGATAGGTGCTGCCATAGGAATATGTCAGGGCACTATAATAATACTAAGGAGAAACTGCCTAACCTTGCCTGAGTTGGCCAGGGAAGCCTTCATAGCGAAAGTGACATTTGGGCAGAGTCTGGAAAAATCCATTGCAATTTGACAAGCAGACTTTGACAAGCAGATTTAAGGGTTTTACACCTGACCTATAAGCCGAACACTCCTAAATCAACATCACCAACTTCAGTCAATCATTTGTGCCCACCATGTTCCTGTTTCGTAGTGAGCTTAAAGTGATTTCACTCTCCCAGTGGAGGGAAAACCCCTGAAAGAGAGACAAAAATTGTAATCGCCAGAAGTTCCCATTTTCTTAGTGCTTTGTGTGTTTGGCCTCAGGGGTCTTTGCGCTAAAAGCATATTGGACTATAGATGGAAGCAATAAAATACCGGTAGTGCTGAGAAGAAAATAATAAGCGTTCTGATTCATGTGCTACCAAAAATTACTTCCAAATGAGCTCAGAGTTTCATTTTAGAAGATCTATTTGGCATGTGTAGCATAAACAAAATGCACATACAAAAACATCTTCCTCAAAGAGATATCCTTGAAAGGATGGGGGAAATGAAATTAAATAGTGGATTGACATTACAGATTAAGACCTTTTTCAAAATAATCACATTCAAATTAATGAAAGCAAGATTGGGTAATCTCCATGAGCTGCTGCTCTATTCTTTATTCACATGAGTAATATTATCCAACTAATGAGGATATGAAAGATATTCAAGATGAATGTCCTATATATTGGCATGAAGATATATGTAATTGGAAATATTTCTCAATTCAGAGTTAAGTCTCTCTTTCCAGTTAGCTTCTCTGAGATCATCAGAGTTGAAAACACTACTTATAATATAAGCAAGATTAATTAAGAATCCCTAAATTTAGATTGAATATTTTGTGGAAGGAAATAAAATTCCATATTTATGTAATGTCTAGACATCTTTTTTGCTATTCTTCTTTATGCTTTAGTCATTCTACTAGTTCAAATAGTTGACTGCACAATCTTTCTTCTTTTGAGATATTTTGAATAGAATATTCGAATCAGTGAACCTTCTGTTTTGCCACCATGCAGTCTCTTTCTTAGGCATAAAAATTAATTTCAGCTGTTGAGATAGTGTTCAAGGCAAGTATTGTGTTTTAATAACTTTCATAGCTCCAAATAAATTATAGAAATTTTTTTTCTGTTTTAAATCCATCATTTTCCTGCTGGTTCTGTGTGTTTTTGTTTTGTATTTAAAGAACAATATGTTACCTAGGCACTCAATAAATATTTCTTGTGTGTATGTTCTCATTCTATATCTCATACACTAGAAATATAGGAAAAAGGCTTTATAGAATTAGATTCATTGACATAACTAAAGAAGAACATGTTATCATTACTATTAGTCATGCTTGAAGATTTCCCCTCAACTAAATAGGAATCTGCTACTGTTCATTTGATAAACTTTAATATTTTTTTAATCAGGACTTTTCTTTAACAATTTTTGAACAGCTCTTAGAGGACCATTAAAGTGACAGTGTTAGGAGACTAAGTGGTATCTATAAATCACGGCATTTTATCCCATTGTTCCAGTCTTGCTGCTTCTACCTCCTGAGTACCCTTTCAATCCATCCATTTCCTGCAAGCCACAGATGCGATTTCAGTTCTGGGCCTCCATCTCTTAGCTGGACTATTACAACAATGTTCTGACTGGTATCTGTGTCCACTTCTCTGCCCATTTCTAATTTGGGATCCATTCACCACATTTTATAGTCAGAGTGAGATCAACCAAAGAACTTGTATGCATATATACATAGCCCATGGGCACAGTCAATAGAGAGGTGAAGGCCTGGGGTGGGGCAGGGGGCTGGGTGGAGGGGAGAAACAGGGGACATCTATAATACTCTCATAAATTTAAAACAATTAAAGAAAAAAACTGACAAAATAGCCTTAATTCCATGACTTAAAATTCTTTAATGACTTCCCTGTGGCCTCAGGATAAAATCTAAACTGTTTAAAATTAAAGTGGTTTACAAAATCAAAAGAACTGTGGTTACTTAAAGGCCAGACCATCTGAGGTTGGCTGAATGAGCCAT